AGAGACCTGATTAGTTTCAGGGTAAATAATTGTGCATATTAATTACCTAATTTGCATAATTAATTTTCAGCTTTTCTACTGATATCTAAAGTACTAATCATCACATTTCAATGAATCTAGAATTATGCAGAGACCCAATTAGTTTTTGGTAAATATCTGTGCATATTAATCACCTAATTTGCATAATTAACCAATTTCCAACTTTCACACTGATATCTCAGGTACTAATCATCACATATCAATGATTGTTTATACATGGATGCTGTAGGACAATAGACAGACCTGGATAATTGTGGGTTAAAATCTGTACATATTAATTACCCAATTTGCATAATTAACCAATTTTAAGCTTTCACACTGATATCTAAACTACTAATTTCCATTTTAATGAAACTTAGTACAAAGATGCTCTAGGACAATGTACAAACCTAATTAGTTTGGGGTAAAACTCTGTTCATATTATTTCCCTAATTAGCATAATAATTCATAATTTTTTGGTTCTAATCACATTTCAATTAAACTTGGTACATAGAGTTTTTGTTACATTGCGCAGACCTCATTAGTTTTACAATCAAATCTGTTCATGGTAATTTTCTGATTTGCATAATTAGTTTTCGGCTAAGTAATTTCAAATTATATTTAATGTGTCTCCAATACTCTCAGCACATGGGAGTTCTTTCTAAGCTTTCTTTGATTTTGTTGTTGTTGTAACCTTTAACCTCCTTCAGTAGGTTGTTATGAGTTAATAAATTGTTAGTTGTTGTTGTGCAAGAAATGCCATGAAAATAACCTTGACCCATGTGTCAATGTTTCAATTGCTATGCCTTAAGTTAAGAGGTCAGCTGTACTGGTAGTATATAGTACCGGGTTGCACAACACATAGAAACCAGAGGTTTAAAATGAATTTATTTCCTCTAGCATAAAAATAAAATAATTTTTTACACAGCTTAAATATCCATTTGAGGTTATATATTGCTTATAATTAATAAAAACACTCCAAATTGCCGCCCCCAGGATTTATGAACACCTTGGGTCAAAACGCATGCGGTCTTTACTTTCTTTTATAACCATCAGTATTAGTTATTACGTCATTAAATATATTGCGCATGCGCATGCACTGTTTGAATGTTCTGAAAGTTTTCTGACCTTGCGATATTTGTGCGTGTGAGCAACATTTTCGAACATATTTATAAATATTATTTCTGTGTTGATCTAGAAACGTAAAGGCCACTTGAGGTCCCGACAGGAGAACATACATACCTTCTAGTTTGTCGGTGTCATCATCACTTTCAGCCATGACGCCAGTGTCACCAGCAGGAAGCCTTCATTAAAAACATCATCCCAGAAAGCTGATGAAATTCGTAACAATAGAAGGCAGAAATCATACCGGAACTGCAGCTAGGTCGGCCAGCTTGGTCATGACATAACTACTGCGCCCTCTCTCGACTGTATGGAATTTTACTCACTTTCACATGGTGGCGTTGTGCACAGAGCTAATATTGATCATGCCAGCACAATATTGTTGGCTCTATCACAGTTCCTAAAAAAGTAACCGTGGGTTTATGGTTTAAATCACTTTAAGGGGTGTGTTTTTCTTGAAAATTTGTTTCAAGGGTTGGGATTTTAGGGAAATTTGAAATTTTTCACCAAAAGTTTATGCCTCGCATAGCTATTCTGAAAATTGTTCGGTCAGATGGCTTGCAACTTTTCTAAAACAGCACTTCGATTTTTGTCCAATTTAGACTTGACTGGATCTCCCACCAACACGCGCACAGCTCAGATCAATCAGTATTTCATACTAGATAGGTAAAACGCATTATTTTTTCTTCAAAACTACAGACATATAAATGCCACATAACTTATAGTTGACATGTCACATGATCTTCAAATTTGATTTGGTTTTACAGCCCGGAGTCTGCGTATGCTACCGATTCGTTTGTTTTAATGCAATAAATGCAATAAAACTTGTTTTCAGTGCTGAATATATGGAGGTGACGACAGAAAGAACTTAAGCAATAAGCAAAACGATAAAAACGGCATCTGCGTGCCCGCAGAACCTACATGCAGATCAACACGCAGACGTCAATGTTATGGTTTCTGCGTGCCTGCAAAACTTTCCCCCGCATATACGCTTTTGAAGTACCCGTACATACCTCATGGATCTCAGGCTGAGGCCGGAATCTGAGGTGGTGATATTCGCTCATATACGGACTCATAAGTGTACCAATTGGAAAAATATTACCGATATTAATGTCTATCTTGACCAGAATTAAGACCGATACTTATACTTAAAATCCAAAAAACGAGACCCATTTCAGGGGCACGTCCCCACTAGGCAATCGTTATATTTGAAAAAGGCGCGAGCACGCGCTCTAAGCCAAAAAGAATGGGCGAGAATGTTTTTTTCAAAAATTAATGATAATGATTTTTCCTGCAACACATAAAATAGACGAACTCAAAAAATTCACGACCGAATAATATTTATTATATGCGTTGACACTACTAGGGTACTGTGGAACAATCTAAAGGGGATATCACGTGACATATCATTCTAGTTTGATTGCTACATAGTAACATCGATTCAATAGTTGTGCGAATATTCTTTCAATTAACAATTACAACATAATGACAAATGACACAACTTGTCAATGGTTAATCAAATCGAGAAGTGGACGGAATTTAATTAAAATACAGCGTTGTTGACCGACAAATATACCCACAAATGCGGTGTATCAAATAAACTACGTTAAAGTGAAGTCTGAATACTAGTAACAAACCGAAATCGCTACAGTCGTTACGCAGAGAGATGTCGAATTTTGTGTAAATAAGCAAGGCTTTTTAAAACACCAATGAAATAGACATTTGCAAGCACTGTTATTGTGCGTTCCAAAGCAGCGCACATGATTTTTTTTAACGAACGAATAAGTAAAACTAATGTTTTCATTTCACGGAAAATATTATAAAATATTATGTTACAAATTTAGAGATGTAATCTAGGAAACTTTGATTATTTTTGTGTTTGTTCAAATAATAATTGCATCTCGTAAGGGTTCGTTCGATAAAATACTGTAAAAAACTGTAATTCTCATACGCCCTAGATTTACGTACATGGATTTAAAAATTCATATTTATACACTTCTTCAAGTTAACTACAAGATTGCAGAGTTACTAGTCTCAGCGAGTGCAAAAAAGGCATTCCTTCATATTTATAAATATTTACAAAAATCCAACCAGCCAATCAACGAACACAGCGCACAATTTGAAAACGTTTCAATGCTATTCAATCGTCCAATGGAAACCTTTCGTTTCAGTTTGATTTGTGAACTTTACAAATATTTATAAAAATTAAGAGAATGCTTTGTTGCACTGAGAGTATTAATTGCATGTAATCATAAAAACAATTGATAAAACTGTATAAAAAATGAACTTAAGTTCGTGTTATGACGTGTTACAGTGACGTGGTTTGAGAAACATGTTCTTGTTCATAAATGAGTTGTTGAATTCACTACAACACAGTTTTTAATTTCACTCAGCTTTTTTCAGATATAAATGCAGACAAATAAAACTTTTTTCTTCTTCTGTAATATTACTGTATAATCTCGGTAACCAGGACAATCACCATCGATGTGTATATACAATACATTTGGTTGTGAATTATTCTTGATATATTTCGGAATTTCAATTTCAGTTGTTTTCAGTATTTTATAATGTCGATAACGGAAAATCTTTATGGTATATCTTTATACATATATGAGTGCATGAGTTCGTTTCAATATTTGGATTGCGCCCGCGGTACAGTCGGCGGCGAACAACGTTGCCATAGTTACAATCTAGAAAACATGAATTGTTATGAAAGTTAATCGAGGAGCAATCTGGTATCAAATATTACTATATAAAATGATAAAGCATTGTTTTTGCAAACGCAGTACTGGTTCAACCACAGACTTCACATCGGTATTTTCATTGTCATGGTTACAGTTGTCGATTTGTCTAGCAGCCGCATTGCAGGGAAATCAGTCATGGTGTTTGCGTCGATAGTGATGAACTGCGATTTATTTAATTCGGTCTAATTTCATTTCCCCTTGGTTGGTCGACCACTACTCCTACCGCGTTTGGACTCGGAGTCTTCAACTCTCGGCCTTCTTGTATTAAGGCACAGCACCCACATAGAAGATGAACCAAATAGTCACCGCAGCAAGAGCCGTCGATTGACCGTTGTTCCCTAATGTCTCTTCTCACGCCGGACTGACAAACACATCCAACGACTGGAATCAGACCGAGAAGCGAGTGGACCAAGCACGATTTACCAACAGCCTGTGCGTTTTTCCCCGCGGTGCAGCAAGGCAGAAACGACGTGACGAGGCATAAACCACAGTCCCCGAAACATCCAAACAAACCGTTCTCCCAGTCTGCCGTATTCTCTACTATTCTCGCTGCTGACATGATGTGTGTTTTTCCGTAATAGATAGAAGAAGCACCGTAGATAAATCAGATGACTTAAATCAGTGTGTTTGATGGTCAGAGTTCGTTAATACACACAGCTTGTGGGGTAACCTGAATGTGCCAACTGATGATGCCAGGGCGAGCATAGCACGGTACGGTTATAAAATGTACTGTTTTGTGTTTGTGTATCGCCATGGGATTCACTAAATAGATGTAACACTGTACACAGGTTAACGAGTTCTTGTGAATGACGTTTAGGTAATTCTCGGGGCGGAGCTACGTCACAGAAGTTCTAGGTTGGTAAAAAACGCACCGCTGTTTTGTTGGCTCTGCTGGACTGGCCCAGCAGTAGAAATTTTATAATTATTTCTTAAATCCTGGTTCGATGCGAAATTATGCAAAACAACTCGTTTTTCGGGGAATTATAATATTGAAGAATACAATTGCCACGCCTCGGCCAGGGTTTTGCGTTAGCTGCAGTAGAACGCTGATCAAAGCGCCGGTGAAAACAACTAAAGTCGAGAGAACAGCTCAAACTTCACTTTGAATCAAACCTAGACAACCAAATTTAAATATGTTGCACATGTAGGGATAATCTTGTTACATTATTCAGGAGAGTTTCAACAACTAGCCTAAAGTGAAGTTTGTTGAGAGTTTTCGTCCATTGTTTTCAACGATTTTGGTTGTCAGGCAGTGAATATAAAAATGATAATCTAATACTGAAACGCATCCTTGTTTGAATCTTCATAAAGAAAGCAAAGAACACAAAACAAAGCACTTACAAAACCTGAAAAAAAAAAACAAAGAAAGATACATGACAAATTTGTTATATAATTTATTTACTTTTTTAGAAACGACAACCACTGGAAAGATCATGCATACGTCATATCCGGTACTCTGGCTGGAGATGTCACGCGCGATCATGCGAGCAATTTACGGTGATGTCATATTCTATTATTCTGATTAACTTATCTCTCGTGCTAACTATTGCTGTTAACTTCCTCTTTCTCTTCTGAATACCAATTCCGTTCGACTGGAATTTACACCCACAGTGTGGTTAAATTTAGTTTATAAATTGTATTGTATGGTTATTATTGACTCACATGATCGTGGCACGTTAAATAATTGCTTCATATTAATATATCCTTTTTCGAAATGTTGCTTAAATATCACAAAAAAACGCACAAAATACCACTTTTAGAAGGATTGGTGTACGGTAGACATAAAGGTTGGAAACAAAATTATTCTTTTCTGTACGCCGATCGGTGCATATATCCTAGTGATGGTATTCCCGCACAAAATACATACCTGAGGTGTAAACAATTATTTTATTTTATTTTCTTCTAAATTCCTTGCTGTCTGTCATGCTTAGTTTTCGGTCCATACCTACAACGAGACAATGTGGATCTGTACTGTCCCTGGCGGTGAAGGCGTCTCGTTCACATGTAATCACCACAACACAATACAGACACGTGACCCCATTTGTATTTAAATTTACTATCATTTAAGCATAGACCTTAAAATACATAAATTCTATGATTTAATCAAGAACGTTTACAGTACTATGGACTCGCATTCCATCACACACCACACAGCCTGCCTATTTATCTCGACTACAATAATGAATCTATCATAATGAACCACGTGGAGATAAAAATAACAAAACATCAAAACAGAAGGGTAAGAAAACTTGGAAAAACGACTTTATGCAAGCTTCGTGGACCTGGGAAAGGCTTATACAACAAATTAAAAACCAATGAAGGACTAACAGAAGGTATTTCAATCCCCTTTGACTCTCCAAATTTGCGGCGACTGTGAAACTTTCGATTGCTATCACTTTTGACAGTTGGACTGGAATACAGTTGTCAGAAGCTTCAGTATGAAGACTGAATGCACTTGGCGTCACGGCAGCATTGTCAGTATACAGATTGGTTTCGATGGGGTTTACACGGAACGGAAATTAGTTTTCAACTGAGGAACCCGCCATTAATGATAGGGGGGGGGGTCCTTAGAGGAATGACTGAGAAATAGGCTGTGCTGATCCAAATCTGTGTCCAGTTCGATCACTCTCATTCTTAATTTTGACAATGTACCAGAAAAAGTCAATGACAGTCATAAAAATCATAACTAGATTCATTTTTATCGGTTTATTGTTCGTCTCTTATTATTGTACATTCATAATGTGTGACACAATTTATCTGTAACTGTTAATTCGTTCAGCTGATCAACATTTCTTGCAACTGCAGATGGATGCCCTCGGATGCAATGTTAGTTATTAATTTGGGCAGAGTTAGGACATACACTCCAAGGAATAGTTATAATTATCATTTTACAATCAAGAAATTTGTCATTTCCCAGATTTCCGGGTCAATTTTATTCAGGCGTATTGTTTTGATTTGAATATTGAAATTGCGTTCTTAGGGTTTGGTGCGATAACACATTTAATCTACTCATACTTTTTTCTGTGCCATTATTACTTTGATGTTTATTGCTCTAAGGGTTAAAATTAACCCCAAATTAAAAATGTTACTTACAGTTACATTTGAATCACATGACATTAGGAAATAATACCTCTCAAGAGATGGGTTTGTACATGACCAAGATAACAGAAATTTATAAGCTTTTTGAGAATTCCATACAGTACAGTGACGGCGGCACGGGGGCAGAGGGGCGGTCGCCTCTCGAAAGAAAATGTTGGGGCGTCGCCCCTTCAAAATCAAGCTGAAACCTTTTGTGCCCCTCAAAATGCAGAAAATAGCGTTTCAAAGGGTCTATATTTCAAAATTGTTAAGAAGAGCATGCCGCCGGACCCCCTAGTAAGGTTGCGCCTTCAGCGCAGGGTTGGTGAGCAAATCTCGCCAAAATTCGTGCCGCCGCCTCTGTAGTAAGACATGTCACAGCGACATACGTCCTCTACTTTCATCATAACACATATTATATTCAGTGTCAATGGCCAGTGAATGACTTGAACAACTAAAAAATAAATATATTCTTCTCAATTTAACATTACTGATACGTAATTTTCCCTTTAAAATAACATTTTAAAATTATAATATGTGCATAGGTTGTCTTTCGTACAAAACAACTGTCTAAAAAATAACAATAAATTGACTAAGAAAACCGCGAAAAGCTTCATAATCACCAGGACCTCCAAAAACCACACTTCACTAAAACCAAACTAAGAGAGAATAGCTTTGACACGTATTGCCCGTGACATTTTAACAATTTTATCAAGATTGAGCACAAACTTATGTAGTTAACTATTTTATCTACATAGGTTTGTTGCCATCTAAAAGGCTTTGCAATATTTTAGACGACTCTTTCTACTTCCAGATACCTATTATACCCATATTATATTATTACGCCTACTTTTGCAAAAAACAGCCCAAACTATAACAATTAATTACAATTAACAAGACCTTGAGTTACAGACAACATAAATTGTTATTTAACGTCCTCATTTAATTACAGAACCTTAATTAACAGTTAATTACGCGCGGGCAACATATATTTTTTTGTTTGGTTTAACGTTGTGTGTTGCCCGTAATTCGAAGTTCGGTTAACTGTTAAATAAAGTTAGAGTTACTAAATTTGGACTTTGAACAAAACAAACAATCCATGTCACCCGTAACTCGAAGTTTGATTAACTGTTAATTAAAGTTCGAGTTACTAAATGTGGACGTTCAACAAAAACAACAATATATATTGCCCGTAACTCGGACTTCTGTTAGTTGGTAATTGAACATCGAGTTACAATTTGGGCGTGGTTTCGCAAAAGTGGACGAGGTAATACTGTGGTCACGTTGCCGTAACCACTGTGAATAAGTACAAGCAATACATCAATTCACGTTTTCTTGCGACGGACGCTTCTGAGACGTCAAAATTACGTATACGATGAAAGCAATAGACAAAATTGTTTGTCTGTTTAGACGTTCGTCACCTACAACTTATCGTACAATCTTTCAAATCTGAATGAATGTTGATATCGGGTGAAGCGCGCGTTGGTGGATCATGCGTGGCTAATTTCTGTGTACTCTGCGCTCAGCGCATGACAGTTCCGCAGCTAAAATGAGAAGTTATTAAATACGAGTGCCTAAACGTCTATGAAAACGGTAATACATATGAAATCTTGGAAAAAAATATTCTTGGCCCATATTGGAATATAATTAAGTAATTGCAAGTTCTTTTTACACTCGGTGAATGACATGTTGTCATTAAAGTACATTAAAGTGATATACGTGTATATTATAATTATACTACAGCTTGAATGAACTGCCACGTGTTCGGGGTACAATACAGACAAACAGCCTATGGTGGAAAGAATACTCTCGGATCACGTGACAGTCAATGGCGAATCATGTAGCATCTCGCCGCGAATCATGTTGCTATAATTACACCCTCGAAAACATGAATTATTACAAAAATAGATTGAGAAGTATAAAAAGAATCAGACATTGGGTAATAAATTCACAATGATATACGATAAATATTGTAGATGCTTTGTTCGTTAGTTCAACCAGATGTCACCCAGTTTCGTAGTTGCACTGGCACGAACAAAATTTTTATAGCACGCTTTGTCTGAAATCGACAAGTACCGAGCAACATTCATTGCGAGGAAAGTTGTCGCGATATTTGCATCGATATAAAATGTACCATACACTGCAGCACCTCTAATCCCTGTCGACATTTTTCCCCGGTTGGGCGACCACTACCGCCACATCATCAGGAGTCTGCAGTTCTTGGTTTTCTTGTATTAAGGCGCAGCATCCACAGAAGATGTGAACTAAATAGTCGTTGCAGCAAGTACCGGCAATCGTCCGCTGTTCCCGAATTTCTCGTCTCACGCCGGACTGACAAACCCACCCTAGAACTGGAACCAGACAGAGAAGCGAGTGGATCAAGCACGATTTACCGACACCCTCTGCGTTGCGCCCTGCGGTCCAGCACGGCAGGAAAAATGTGAAAATACACAAGCCGACATCGCCGAAGCATCCAAACAAACCGTTCTTCCACTGTGGTGTGTCGTTATCCACTACTACTGGCATGATCCTGGATTTTGTTGTTCCGTAGAAGGAAGAAACACCTTAGTTGAATTAGTGGACTTGAAGCAAATGTCGGAAAATAGCAAGAGTTCGTCAATACACACAGTTCGTCGAATAAAGTCAACGCGCCAACTGCTGATACTGGGTACTAGCCAGAGATAGTACGGTTTTTATATGTATTGTTTCATGTTTGTTTTATTCACCATGGAAATCACATCGTTTAGACACTGTACACAAGCTGGTTAACGAGCTTTTTTGAATGACGTTTACGTAAATTATTTACTTTGAAGTGATAACCACGGGGCAGGGCGGTAGACTGCTCCGTTCATGTAGTTAAAATGTTTTTAAGTTTGAAAACGAAAAAAACACACCAGATAAGCTCAGTGCGCTGATGTGCGATGTTGAAATAAGCGTGATTTTTACGCAATAGCTTCGCCATTTTGTTTCCAGTCTATTTATGACAAACTGACTTGAAACATGATGCTAGGACACTGGTAGGATCATGATTACTTGTTATTAGGTTATTAGGATATTTATATAACATGAACACTGCGAATTTTGTAAGGATCTACGATTCGGTTGTGTTGTGTGACTTTGGTGTCTAGGTAAAAATGCGACTGCTCCTGAGCTGACCTAAATGTTAATTATTCACGTAATCGCATTACGAGAATGTTTACCAAGTAAATATAGCGATCGTGGAATGTGGGAGAACAATATTAGCGTCCAAGTTACAAGTCACGGCCCAGGCACATGCCGAAAGCGTCCTCTCCTCTCCTATTATCTTTCACTTCCATCTGGTCATGTCATGGCTCGATCATTCTGGCAATATACAGTGACATCAGATTTTGTTCAAATGTAATCGTTATCTCTATTTTAAAATGGGCGTTGTTCGCAACAAGAGATATTCAGCAGACTGAATTCACAATGTTTCCTTCTAGTGTTGTCAACGAAGTAGTGTTTTTTGCGTCAAATTTGAATCGAGTAGGCTGCATTATTAAACCAAAAAAAAAAATGTTTTATTGCCCTCAGCGACCGACAAATATGAAATATCGTGTCGTGGTTTGTTTTTTTTTTTGTTTTTTTAATAGGCCCAAATATTAAAAACTCACCATTTTAAGCAGTAAAAAAGTGTTTTCTCTAAAAATTAATGAACCCGGCCAGTTGTTTGATCCCAAGGATCCTCGGGGGATAAGTGGCGACTTTGAACCTCGGGTTGACCTGTATTTAATGAATACAAAAGACTGAAAGAAAAACTTTGATTTTTGAGTTAATATCTTGCATGCGTTTGATTGATTTCCATATACCTCGGCTATTTACGATACCCTTAGTTTTCACGAGTATAAAAAAAAAAATCCGACCGACCGACCCAATTTTTCAATTTTCCGACTTGAGGGCAGCATAAGTTTTGTTTTGGTCTTAAACTATCCCATGTGATTTATAATGACTTAATCCGTTCAATACGCCTCACATAATCACGTTCTCTTGAAAAAGAACTGCCATTCAGCAGTATACACTTCACACTTCAATATCATACATTTTAATAATTCAACACACTCTCGGGCTGTTGATTCTAGTTTGAAAGCGTGACCTGTGACCTGATCAATGTGTGGCGACAATATTACCATGCAGCTGAATGTACGGCACGTGATATAGCATGTGTGATTATGCAAAATAAGAAATAAATGTTTAATTGTCAACATCGGTAGGGTTATTATTGGGCCTGATTAGCGGGCGTGGCAATATTATGAATAAATGTGTGCACTTCGCATCAGGGAGGCTCTGCGATGGGACGATCACACCTGTTGATGTCTTCCGTTCAGTGTTTATAGTTACGTCAAAGTACACAAAAATCGCCCAATTCCTAGCGCAGCGTTACAATTTTGTGTAAACAAACAACGTATTTTACAGGCGTTGTATACTAGTATGTCGCATGAGACCCAAGTTCAAAATTATGGCGCGGCATGACGATCGCGGCAGATTTAAGTTGATTGGTGAGATTCTGTGGAAGGGAGGATGGTGGTAAGCTTCTTCCTTCCGGGATCAACCAACTTAATGATCTCTACGTAGAATAGAGTCTACTTCCCCTTGAAACATGTTTTAAAATCTCCATCGCGGCGGATGCGTGACGTAAGTAAAATGTACTCTGACATTTATTTTTGTACTTCGATTTTTCTTCATGGTGATGTTGCTGCATTTATCTACTCTTCTTTTTTCAAATGTGTGGGTTTTTTTTTATGAATATATATTTCTCGCTTTAAAATCTACTGGCATCCAGAGTTTCCAAATGTCAACACAATCTTTCATCATTTAATCAAGTGTGCATATATTATGGGTACTGGTTGTACCAGTACCACACCCGGATGACTGACGTCCCGTTATCAACCATTGTGAAGGACGCAGGTGTGCCACCAGCGATAATTGTTAATGAACAAACTTTAACGGCCTTCAACTCTATCAACCTACATCGCAGTAACGTGTTAGCACACATGTAATTTTTAACATATGTAATTTGTATACAAGTATATATTTAATTAAATCAGATACGCCAGATGTATGCGTTTTATTTAAAATAGCAATTAAGGGGGTCAATCTATACTGGGCTCACGTGATGTGTCCATGACAACTCGTCGTCAGCATCATACTTTACATTACGATATGTTATCTTAAGCTGAACCACCCACGCCTACTGAGTACAGTTGAACCCGTCGGTTACGCATGAGCAATGCAATAACTGCAGTCACCAGTGTCATTCCGAAAACTCATTGATTATGTTCAACAAGCTCGACATCACAAGCAATTGCAAATCCAATGTACTGCTTAATGTGTGTTATCACATGACATTATTTAATGTTGGATTTCCTAGCAAATCTCATCGACAATGTGGTTACGTTTCAGTGGGGAAATGTCATGATGCAATCATGCGGTATACGGTAAATGTGATAAAGAGCTCACTATCAACATCAATCATATAGCAACGCGCTATCTCCAAAAACATACCGAACGAATAAACCATATCTACTCTATATACGTGTAATGATTATTCCCTCCAAGATGTTGAATCACCATTTCGCTCATATTTCTATAATTTCTGTGTGAGCTGTCGACCGAATTGACATAATTTCCCATTTACTACAAGACGTGATCAAAATATGAAAACATTTATGTAGGTTCAATTTTGAAAAAAAAAGTTTAATTTGGCATTTATCCGGAATATTCTAACCATATTTCCCAAATACAGACCTTGTCGATGTATTTTGTCTGAGTTCGTTTGTTTGAGGGAAGCAGAAAAAATAACAAAAATGCACGCCCTCTATCACTGATTGCATCAATATGACATAGTTGTAGTTTCGACGTTCGCTGGGCAATCCAGTTATGTTAAAAAAATAATGATGGCGGACATTTTAATTACAAAATTTAGAATCAATTTTAAATTCAAAATTGTTCAATGCTTGTAAGCTGCTTGGGTGAAAGAAGTCCCGGAGCGGATTTGTCAATATTTGGAGCGTGGCAAACGAACTTTGAACACTTGACATAGACTCAAATCTAATCAGCAACAGCTATTGTAGGTGTTTAATAGTTACGATGAGAGATCACTCGTTGCTATCAGTTGCGCCCTCTGGAGTCGAAATTTGCTTTGGCGTAAGCGACGCCTTTCACATTGTCGTTCCATGTACAGTGACGACGGAACCTTGGAGAGGGGCAGGGCTGGTCCTCTCGAAAAAAAAATCCTATGGGGTGCAAGGGATAGTGAGCAAAATTTCGTGCCACCGCCTCTGATGTACGTCATTTTTGACTTTACAGAAGGTGTATTTTATTCTCCGCGCGAGTTTCAAGGTAAAAAGGTCTGCAAGCTCTGACTCTGACTATTGGTCATATGATCGAGCGGACATGTCGTGGAGGGACTTCAGTCAATTGAATGTCACGTGACCAGTCGTCACGTGAGAAAAAGACAATAAACATAATTTCGGCCCAATGAAATTACGAGTATATTGTTACATTAGTTCCATTCCAGATCAGAGAAGTACTACGGCGTAGCGAGCCTGAGTATGGCGTTTATTTCCAAGAGCATCCGGGGAGTCGTGATGAAATGAACGCGACATCGTGAGGCATCAGATGTCACCTGACCATGGCGTAGGCGTATATTTTGTTTGTCGGATTACTAGTATTTGAGTTGTCAATATTGTTATCAAGTTAGTCTGTAGAACTCAATTGCCAACACAGTAACGTTACCCCCCCCCCGAGATCCACCACCAGCACGTAAATAACAATTTGATAGTTAATGTCATAGCAACAAATAAACAAAAAAAAACAAACAATATAGACACAATCACCAGCTTTCGACTAAAGTTCAAAATTCCAAAATGTTATTTTGAACCAATTCCCAATTATTTATTTATTCATATAAATCATCATGATATTTTATCGCCGACAAAGTTTAAATGTGGACCTAAAAGAATCCATTTTTTGCTTCTCGAAAAATGTATGGATTTTTAGTTGTTTTAAAGATTGGCGAGTAGAAACTCCGATTTTTTGGAAAATGGTTCAAACTATTTGGTTTGCTTCAAAATAACAACATTTTTGTAATTGACGTTTATCTGATTTTTCGAATATGTATGCTAACAACGAGAGCCTACATTCAGTGTGTGAGGCATATAGTTATACCCCTCTCCGACTATACATATATCAAGTGCAGTCTAGAATGAACACAACCCATGAAATTACTAAAATACAAGCCTCATTTTGCAATATAAAAATTACCAGTATCTATGTGTAGTTGTTATGTCGTAGATAAAACCATAATAAAACTAAACATGTTTTAGATGATCGATGAATGCGAATATACGCAAGTTGCTGGGCAGTAATTTACAAACAAAACACATGATGGCATATCACTCATTCAAAGTGTGACATGGGCGTATAACGTGGCTGCTATGCAGCACAGTTTGTTTGATTGATGTTGCTAGGATACAATGGATGACCAATTCGTATGAAAAGGCATGGCTCCGCGTCGTACTCGGTAC